GAATGTCTGTGCTCCCTTGAGAAAACTTTAACGTTATAAAATCCCAGGAACCTACTTTAAAAGCTGGACAAGCCTCAGAAACGCATAATGTCCTAGAAAAGGACACTGGTGAGCTGGTTGGCACGTGACGCTGAAGGCCCGTGTGGATGCTTGGGCTGGGGTGTGGCCCCACAATCCTGCAGACTCCGGGGCAGGAGCTGCTCTGGAGCCTCTGCAGCCCCTGTCAGCTCCCTGCCCCGCAGGGGCCAACCCAGGCTGGGCTGCTGTGGTATACACGAGCCCACAAGGAAGCACACAGATTGGGTGACACCACGCAGATTCGGCTGAGCAAACAGGAGCCTTTGGGCTCCTGACACAGTCGCAGGAGAACTGGGGATGACCCTGCCATGTTGCACATGATACCCTCAACATTTTAGAGCCCCAATACCATGGAACAGATTTAGGCAGCAGGGAAAAATAAAAGGAACATAAAGGGTCCCCACCTTTCGGCGTCGGGGTGATGGTGGACTTTTATCTTCCAGAGTTGAGACAAAGTCTTGCCAAGTTGCTAAATTCCTCAGGCCAGGCTTGAACTTGAGATCCTCCTGCCTCAGCTTCCTCAAGTACTAGGCATACAGGTATGTACCACTATTTCTGGCTTGCTTCCCCAAGTTTTCAGAAGAGAAGGTGGACAAGGTGAGCCAGAACTGACAAGGCCAGCAGGTGTGGGTGGAAACACAAAGCTGGAATGTCAGTGATCCTCATCCCACAACGTCCAAGGCTCCTAGACTGGCAAGATCTGACCTGCTCCCCCTGCTAGGGTGACTGAACTTGTGCACATACTTGTCTTGCAGTCATGCTAAGAACGTGGACAAGCCACCCTGGGGAAAGCACCAAAGTTTGCATGAAAATTGAGCACAGGAGTCCCCTTACCCTTGGGGATCAGATCTGAGCTCGTCAGTGGATGCCTAACCCTCAGTACTGACCCTACAGCCACTGCTTTTTTCCTACACAAACCTAAGATGCAGTTGCACCCTTTTACTCAGAGGCAGTGCTTTGCTGCTTGTCTTGGCACCCAAATCTCTAGCACTGAAATCTGGTGCTCTGGGGCCACTGTTAAGTGAAATGAGAGCCACCGGAAACGCTAGCACTGCGCACAGCTACAGATCTGATAACCCAGCGGCTACTGAGTGACGAGGGCTGGGGAGGGCAGAGCACGTGGTGAGGAGCTGAAGGACAAAGGGATGTTTCCTGCCCTGCGCTGGAGTGAGATTTCATCACACTATTCTGAATGGAGTACAGTTTAAAGCTGAGAACTGTTCACTGCTGGAATTTTCCACTGAACGTTTACGGAGTCCGCTTGATTGCTGGCCACGGAAATCATGCAAAGTGAAACCAAAGAAGGAGAGGGGACCACAGAACTTCTAACATGGACCCAGGAACCTCTGAACTCAGAAGATGCCCAGCAACACAAAGCTCTAAGAGCTGAGTCAGGGCTGAGTCATCTAGCAAAATACAGCGGGGCTGTGCTTAAGGGTCGTGGTTAAAAGGGGTCTTAGACTCCACTCTCTGTATTTTACATAATGTACTGCTAACTTCTGCCAAATTTCACAAGCTACTTTCATTCATTTCTGATCTCCATGCTGGAAAAATTAGGCAAGACTCCCCCACACGCCCTGTCCTGCGGTGCCTCTTCTGTGTGACGCCAGTGGTTTTTGAAAACTCCAGCTCTGAAGAGCACAGATTAGACCGGTGGCTGTTTTTGTCAGACCTAGAAAATGATTAACTGATTCACTCTTTCCTAAGACACTTCTTTACACGAAGAAAGGTCACAGTGCTGGTGAAGGCCGAAGCATGTATTTCAAAGAGAGCTCATTCATTTGGTGGGTGGAGTACTCAGAGCAAGGCAAAAACCGGAAAACACACACACACACACACACACACACACACACACACACACACACACAGGCGGAACACCTCAGCCTGGGAACCAGCGGCTGCCCAGCCAGCACAGTGAAACCAGGGTGGGGGGAGGGGACACAGTGCTGGGCTGCAGCTCCTGGAAAGGTTCCAGCAGGTGACAGCCAATGCTGGGACCAGCTGCGGAGCTGCCACTCTAGGGAGGAGCCTACCAGGACCTCCCCCAGCCTCGGGATGCGGCGGCCAATGGGGACAGGCGAGGCGAAGGCACACCAAATTAGGCAAGTGGCAGAGCTGGCCCAGCGCCCTCCCAACAGCCGCCCCTCCACTGGGAGAGGAAGGGCAGGGCAGGGCATGTTTGTAAACATGTCGGCCCCACCCTGCAAAGATACTCAAACTGAAAAGTGCCTTGGCCAGCAAAACCTCAAGGGCTGTGAGGTTTCTAAGCACTCAATTGAATTCCCAGGCCTAAGATAAACGGATGTCAACAGATGGCCTTGGCTGTAACACCGCATGAAAGGCCCAGACCCGAGAGAGTACCAGGTCGAAGCCACTGCTTTCACCAGGTGACCAGGAACCCAGTCCCCACGTGGGGCAGCCTCAAAAAGAAGGACCGGGCAGTGAGCACCATGAGGGGGCACAGGGACCAGCCCCCAGCTCCTGCAGGAAAAGCAGCACCCTGGACTCTGGGGTCACTAAGCAGGACTTCGGGCGTCTGCAACCCAGATGAAGCACCCTTCACCCCACAGCTCAGCTCCAACACCTTCTCCACCAGCGGCTGTTCTCCTCTGGGCTGTGGCTGGGAAACATTCCTATTTCCCAAAGGCCCAAACACTTCCCTTTCTGAACCCGCTTCTCCTGGGCTGTCTGGATCACCGGTAGGGTGGAGGTGGAGGTGGAGGCCCAGCCCAGAACCCAGCCCCTCAGCGGCGCCTGGCTCGGCTCCTACTGGGCAGGGAAGGGCTTTGCTGCCCGGGGCACTGAAGAAACGGGCGGCGGCCAGCCCAGCTCCTGGCATCTCGAGACATGGCCTGGCTTTCATTCCAGCGGCTGCTTCAGGGAACACTGCATGAAGCCTTACGGACATGTGAGGCTTTTCGGCTTTACTGAGATATACGTCACCCACAACACGTTCACCCACGGTGTGTACAACTCAGTGGTGTTCACTGTATTTGCTAGGTGGTGTGACCGCCACCGCTGTCCGACTCCAGAACATCCTCACAAGCCCACCCTGTACACGCGAATGGCCACCACCTTCCTCCTCCCGTCCCTGGCTCGAACCTGCCTCCCGTCTGGCCAGGCTGCCGAAAGGGCCACACACTGCATGGCCTCCACGTTGGCTCCTCTAACGGGAACTGCATTTTCCTGGCCCATCCACCTGGACCGGCGTTGAGTCGCTCGCATCTTCCTGTGTCCTGTGGATGGGCCACACTTCCACCCCTCGTCAACCGACACACGTCCGCAGTATCTCTGCTGCGGGGATATTATAAATAGTGCTACCACGAACATGCAGGCTGAGTCTGCACAGACAGAGGACGGTGATCTGCCTTCCCCTTCTGGGTTAAACTATCATCCACAGTGGCTGCCTCCTTGTATCACACGTCATTTTTTAGCTGTGTGTGAACAACACATGCAGAAGTGAACGTAGGGGCATCGCCAGGTACTGCCACACTGAGCTGGGGTGGGCGGGAGCTGCTGGGATCACCCCCACACCAGATGTCTGGAAGACACCCCATCACACACAGAGCTTGGATTTAGGTCAGGGCTACTCCAGGGATCTGAAATGAGGTTTAGAGAACCAGACTCTCATAAAGCTGTGAAGACTAAGAAATAATGCAGGGGTTGGGTAGGATGGCACACGCCAGTAACCCTAGCACACTAGAAGGCTGAGGCAGGAGGAACTCAAGTTTCAGCCCAGCCTGGCAACTTAGTGAGACCCTGTCTCAAAATAATAAAGGACTAGGGATGTAGTTCAGTGCAAAGGACCTGGGTTTAATTCCCAGTGAAGAGGGAGGGAGGGAGAGAGAGGAAGGGAGCAAAGGAAGGAGGAAAAGAGGAAGCAAGGAAAGGAGGGAGGGAGGGAAGAAAGAAGAAAAATAGTCACTAACATAGCGGCAGCGTTGTGCAGAGGGCCAGCACGGATCAGATGCTCCACAAATTATTCATCCCCTGATCATCACAGGGAACTATGAGGTTAGTGGCGGCTTTGTAGACAGGTAAGATGACCTATAAGACTGCCTTGCCTGGCCACAAAAGATAGCACCAACCACCCATGGCCAGGGCCACACTCAGCCCCGGACCTGAGCCCTGGCTGGGCTGTCTCTCAGGTTGCTCCTGACCTTTCAACCTCTTGGAGTCTCTGGCGAGAGGAAGCCGGCTCCTCACGGCTCAAACACAGTCGCTCCTATGCACACACAGGTGCACACAGGTGTACACAGGTCCACACAGGAAAACCAAAAGAAACTATGACCTTGCACACAGCCAAACTGGGTACAGGAGCCATCCTTGTAGCAATACACAAAGGTGAACCAAGACATGAGTCCATGCGCAGAGCTTGGGAGGCGTCACCTGCGGGGACTATAGAGTGTGCTACCCACAGGAGGGGACTCAACTATGGGGCTGGAGGATGGCACCACCCTGCCTCGGCAGCAGCGCAGTTCTCGGGGCCACCTGCATGGACACACATGGGCGCACACATGACAGAAAAGCCCATTTCATTTAAAAGTGGCTGTGATGATCAAGAGTGGTGGCACACATCTATAATTCTTCTGGGAGGCTGAGGCAGGAAAATCATAAGCTTGAGCCAGCGTGGGCAACTCAGCAGCTTAAATATACCTTATCTCAAAGTTTTAAAAAGGGGTTGGGGATGTACCCTAGTGCAAAGCCCAGGGTTCAATCCCTAGCTTCTCAAAAATAAAGAATATCTCAAATATTACTTTAAAATGTTTTTAAGGTGTGTGTGTGCATGTGTGATTCCTGCGCTTGTGTTAATAGGCTCTGAATCTGAAACTTCAGCCTGGCCAGGTGGGGAAGCGGGTGATAAATGTTCATGTACAGAGGATGCACCCACGAGGGCTCCGGCTCGGCAGGCAGCCACTTACCTGATGGTGCCAGTCGGGGAGGGGATGGGGCTGACCAGGCTCCGGAGATCCGGCTCCGGAATGTGGATCTTTAGCGGGGAGATCTGGGGGTAGAGCGGCCGGAGGGGAGACGCTGGAGCCTCTTCTTTATGGTACAGGGATGTGAACTGGATCTTGATGGCCGTGCTGGGGAACCGGAAGGTACACCTGCAGAGGGACGAGAGAGAGTCAGGCATGGGGAAGCGGGGGAAGGACATGGGGTTCCAAGAGGGGCAGCTCCCAGTCACCAAGGGCTGGAGGGACAAAACCCTGAGCTCACTGTGGCTCATGCAGGGGCTGGGCTGGACCCATTCCGTGCCTCTTCTAGCACGCTTCCCACACAGCTTTGCCGCACCCAGACAGCAGCTGTGCTGACTGCAAGGGACAGAAGAGGTATAAATACCCCAGGCGCAATGTGGTCCGTCTTCCTCACAGCTCCCTGACAGGCATGGCTACTTGCTGTCCACAAAGCAGCTGCAGTGACACCATGGCCAAGTCCATTGCTGCACACAAAAACTAAACAAATGGGCATAGTATTTATGCAGAGATGCTGAAGACAGAGTCACTCCCACTACCTGGACAGTGAAAGCAAATGCTACGTGACGAAGTTAGTGATGCCACCTGAAAACGCCTGTAGGAAGGAGTCCTAGAGAGCAGAATCACGAACCCAGAGCTTAACACTGGCTTCCCACTTAACTCTGGGCTTTGGGACCTTAAGCCCACTTTTCCCACTGGACCTGGCCATATGCAAGGAGACCCAACCCTGCAGCTGCAGAGGCGTCTGACACAAGGCGGCGTGGGGTGCTCAGAGGACGGCAAATACTGTCCAAGGCTCCATCTCTGAGACAAGCCTACCCTGCACATCACCTCATTTCCGCACAGGAAAATCACAAATCAACAACTGGCTAACTGCATGCCAGGAAAAGAACAAGACAAAAACGAAACAAATGAAATCAGGCTGCCCACGTAAGAGTACGGCCATCCCGGCTGCCTGCGAAGACTGCTTGAGTGAAAGGGGCGCATAAGTCCAGTGACGACATGTGACACACTTCAGGGTCTTGAGAAAGTCCTGCACTTGAGGCACGTCCGGCTTTTGCAGCAAAGCTGCTGGGACCTGCGGACAGCTTCGTCTGCTCCGAGCTGCATCCCAGTCCATAGCAATGTGGTCGCAGATCTCCTCAAGCCTTGCATGTACTCGAGGTGAGCAGAATGCCCCATTTACTCCAAGAGTCTCCTGCTCTTACAAGTCAGGTTTTTAAAAAATAAAACTTAAGTCAAAGCTGGGACATGTGATACATGGCTGTGACCTGGTATGAACTGGTGTGGACTGGTGATGCACTCTGTTTTCTTTTTCTTTCTTTCTTTTTTTTTTTTTTTTTTTTTTTTTTTTTTTTTTTTTTTTGTCTTTTTGAGACAAGGTCTTGCTATGCAGTTCAGGCTGACCTTGAGCTTACTTTGTAGCCCAGGCTGGTCTCGAACTTGCAACGATCCTCCTGCCTCAGCCTCCCAAGTGCTGGGATTATAGTTGTGCACCACCACACCCAGCTTGGTAATGCATTCTGGGAGGCTGGGGCAGGAGGGTCAAAGGTTTGATCCCAGCTTGGGCTATTTAGTGACTTATTGAGACCAAGTCTCAATATACGGGGCTGGATATCCCAGCAGGTGACTGACCCAGCTGGAGATTATGGTCTCCTACACACAACTGGAGCAGAGCCCAAAGCTCTTCTACCCATTTCCCATTTAGAGAAAAAAAAAAATGCAGCTCACTTAAGTTCACATAAACACACTCTTCAAGGCTCAAGCAAATCTGACTGGCTTTCTTTTTTTTTTCCGGTACCAGGAATCGAACTCTCAACCTTGCGCTTGCCAGGCAGGTACTGTGCCGCTGAGCTAAATCCCCAGGCCTACTGACTGGCTTTCAATGTGCAAATGAAGTATAAAAACTCTTCTTGGAGTTGTTTCTAAACAAAACTGTCTCTGTTTCTAATAATGATACTAAAATAGTAATAAAGTGATACAAAGTGATACTAAAATAATAAAAGTGGCAAGCTTTGGTGGTGGGGGGAGGTTAGGACTCATTTGCAGGTGTCCTGGGGCAAACCAGAAATAGGTTAAGGGAGCCTTCAAGCTCTGCGGCTAAGCCCAATCTAAAGGGGCACTCTGGTTCTCCTTGGTCTCCCTGCACCTGATAGAAGTTTCTTCCCCTGGTATTCTGGTGCTAAAGGCCCAACACTGGTGGTCCTAAGATGCTGTCTGCAGCCCTTGGCTGTCATCCTGGATGCCTGTCAGCTTTTGCAAGTCACAGAGCCACATCCACCCACACTGGTGTCCGAGAAGGGGCTGGGTGTCCCCAAGCTGCAGAAGACGGGAAGTGCTCTGGATCAGGAGCATGGCTGCACATCTGAGCTGGGGAGCCAAGCTGGGCAGGTGAGGATCACTTGTGAGTGGTGGGACTGAAGGAAAAGAGGCCAGTGTGTGCCACGCTCGCTGTGAGAACACTATCGGACAGGACAGTAGAGCCAGCAACACGGAGACGGTTTCTAAGTGCTCTGCCTTGGCGTCTGTTCCTCCCACTCCATCACATGGTCAGGGTTCTGGCGCTGTGCAGGGAAGGCCTGTGTTCACACAAGGCCCCGACACAACAGCCCCATCCCGGCCAGCTGGAAAGAGGATGTGGCTTCTGGCCCACGTCCAAGGTGACAGGTGGACTGGTTCTAAGAACAGGGTCTGGGCACGAAGACGAACAGGGCTGCGGGCCCCAGGGGCCCCACCCTGGGCCATCCAATCTCCAGGCCTGAGTCTTCCTAGGGTGATGTGGGGAGTGCTGTAGCCGTGGGGACCACTACAGGAGAGTGGACAGGACCCCATCCCAGCCTCTGGTCTCCTCACCATCAGATGGGAGGCTTGGAGATCATCTCCAGGGAGGTTTCTAGGTCAAAACCCAAGACTCTAGGTGATATGCGCGGGTGGAGTGAGCATTCAGAAAAACAACACAATGTTTTCTAAGACAAAGACGTGGGCACCTGTGGGTGGTGTGACCAGGGCAGCCTCCCGTACCGGAGTTTCCCAGTGGGGGTTAACAGTAAGCATCTTCGTGATCTTGGTCATTAACAGCTATTTTAAAATCAGCTCCTCATAAAAAATAAAACAACAACAACAAAAAAGAAATGCACTCCTAACTATTCTTCCAAATCCCTCCTGGGATAGGTCCCGCCAAAAGGAGTGGGAGGAGGAGCTAGCGCACAGGACACCCAGGCCCACCCAGTGTGCACCTGGGGTCCACCACTCACACCTGTCCTTGTAATGTTTTCATTGGCGTAAGGTCCTGGTTGGAGAAAGTTTTCTTTTTAATACCAGGATTGAACCCTGGGTCTTTGTAATGAACTACATCCCCACGTCTTTTTTAGTTTTTAAATTTTGAGACAGGGTCTCTTTAAACCACCCAGTTACTCAGGCTCGGCTCAAACTTGGAACTTCCTGCCTCAGTCTCCAAGACTGCTGGGACTACAGGGATGTGTCACTGTGCCCAGCTATCCCGGCTGCTGCATGGCTTCTGACCTCAGGGAAGCATCAACCTGGCCCAGGGCTGCGTAGGGCCCAACTCCTGCGGCCACAGGCCAGACAAGAGGGGACGGACCTGTGAGACGGCCAGCACACAGCCTGCAGTCAGAGCACCTGCAGGGCCCCACGTGTAGCTGGGCGGCTTTGCCGGGGAGCCTCTTCCCCAGTGGCCTCAAGTGGGGCATGGGAATATTTAGGTGCCAGAGGCTCTGCCATTGTGGGGTATTATGGAAAAACAGGACTCCAGGAAACGGCTATGCGTGACGCTTTTACATATAAAATCCCGAAACAAAGAATTATGACAATCTTAGATGGTTTTTAACCCAATGTATCTTCTATTAAATAAATATTTAATACGTCCTGCCAGAACACCCCTCAGATGAGCCAAGGTGCCTACTGGCTGTGGGCACCCGTCACAGGGCTGAGGAGCAGCACAGCACGGCCACAGACACCAGTCACATCTGGAGGGTGCTCACTGAGGGTCACTGAGAGGCGCCCAGGGGGTGGAGAGCCAGGGCCACCCGAAGGTGACACTGACACACCTGAGGACCGTTCCTGGCCGGGCAGCCAGATGCGCAAGACCAAGACACCAACAAAACGAAGTCAGCCCCTGCTGAAGAACAGGACAGTCCTACTGCAGAGCGGGGACAGACTCAGGATCACAGAAGCAGGTGCCCCTGGACGCCATTCTGCCGCCCTCTTGGGATGAATTCCGGTGAGCACGTGCTGCTGAGTCCAGCTACATGGTGCGAGGGACACTCCAACAGCTTTACCCAGGGGGCCTGTGCTAACTTCGGAGGGCTCACTCAGAGGCCAGGGGACCCAGGCGGCTGGGACTGGGCAGATTCTGCACTTGGAGCTGGTTCTGGGGCATGCGCAGGACCTCTGAGACCTGTAACAGATCCATGGCCAGGTGCCAACAGGCATACCTGGCTGCCCACCCGCCCTGGGAGAAAGCCCGGCCTGCCTCTTGCGGGAAGGGACCCTCCCCAACTCAGCACGAGGTTGGGAGGAAGGAAGACCCTTGTGGGGACCTGGACCAGGACTCAGGGCACCCTAACAGCAGTGGAAACATGGCGAGGTAGAGGGGAGAGGCTGCCCCTTGCAGGGACAGTCTTGTCCTTTCATGGAGATTTACCAGATTTAAAATAAACCGGAGGGCGGTGGGGGATGACCAGGTAAACAGAGCCCCCAAGCTTTACAGTTTGGAAAACAAAAACAAAAACAAAAACAAGGGATCAGGGATTTAGCTCAGCAGTGCAGCCCCTGCCTGGCAAGTGCAAGGTCCTGAGTTCGATTCCCAGTACCCGCCCCCTTAAAAGAGAAACAAAAACAAAAACTTTCGCCCTCTGGAACCTCCAATGAGCAACTATCCTGATTCCGGGTTAGCACTGTGTGTAGTGGATTCAATCCACCGGAGAACTGGACCGCATGCCGCAGGCAAGGATGAGACTCAGTGCCTTCCCAGGCGCCCAGTGGTGGCACCTGGAGTCCCAGGAACAGAGCGATGACACTACTCGGCAGCCTGCCCGGGGGGCACCGCTGTGGTGAGGGAGAAAGGTGGGGCCTCAGGCACCACTAGCACTCAGCCCTCAGCACCAAGGTAG